TTTGCTCGATTCGTGGCCGCCATAATGAGATGCAGTCGACGGAGGAACTTTTCTTCCCCTGCTTAAGGGACGAAAGTTTCTCCCTTTCTGAAGGAACATATGTGTCAAGAGCGTTCCTCCCTTTAGGGAAGACTATACTGACCCTTTTTTCTAAGAGTGCGGCTTGATTCCGCCGCGACGCGGGAAAGTTCGCCACCTGTGCCCCGCAGTCGGGCAACTGAGCTGGGGAGCCGCCAGGGTGCCCACAGAGTACAGCGTAAAGAAAGACATTTTCCTTCGTTTTGGTTTTTCGTAATATACTCTGTCGGAAAGCGGGTATCGCTTTGCGCTCGCTTTCAGCTGGGCGCTTACCCAACGAGTGGAATAAGCCAAGGATACGTCTGCAATCAGATGACGGTATTGTAGGATATCCGCGAATATCCTCGGAGATGCAGGGCTCTAAAAATAAGACGTAACTGAAACCGAAACCAACCTGCAACTTTACTGGTTCGCCATCTTGTTGGGACGTCAGATGTTGTGTAACCATCAGCCCACGGGCAGCTTGAGCCTGTTTCGTCCGGCGTCAGAAGCAATCAAAAGGCCGTCGCGATTGTCCGTGGGAAATAATGAACTACGATTCATCAAGCTGATCTTAGTCAAGCAATGACCAGAAATTGTTTTAAAATTTTCAGCACGAGATTTCAGACGATTTGCATTTCGCATTCGATGCGCCTGCATCGCCTTCCGGAGAACCTTCCCCGGGGGCCCCCTTGAAATCTTCATGTCGGCGGACTCGCAATCCGGCTACAAGTATCGACCCAGATGCCACGTCGAAGAAGAATGGCATGGAAGGCTTTATTTGCTAACCAGGTGGGAACCGTTTTCTAGCACGACGCGAGCTCTAGGACTCAGTGTTCGCGTCAGACTGCTAGGCCCCACTTCCGTCGCAAAGACCTCTTGGTCGGAAACCGATAGGGTGTCACTCTCTTGTATTCCTTCGTGGTGTTTGCACACCCACAGCCCGTCACGGATTCCCCCCTGCACCCTCCATCGCATGCCGCGAACAGCCTAATTCAGAACCATATGGGCAGAACCACGCACGTTCACTATTGCAACGCACAACGCCGTGGAGTAGCTAGGGAGCGTCGTCTGCTATTGGATGCAACATTTTACGTGAGGAGCACCCCTGCTTGTTGTTGCCAGTAGAGCGACAGAAAGTGATCCGAAGGTTCACTTTCTGTCGCTCTACTCGCACTTAGAAATCGTTTTCTCCAAATAATATATATAAGTATATATTTTTATTTTTATCCAATATTTCGTAGACAGATTCACGGGTGTATATTTGATAAGCAGTGAAAATTGTATAAAAACCAATGACCATCAATCTTTCGCCGGAGCTCCCCTTCAAGAACTTGCACATATACTAAGTCGTTCTCGGGGACATGGACAAGGCGGCTCAAATATGTAGTCATGAAGATGCGCCTACGGCGCCTTCACGAGTGAAAGTACGGGTAAAACGTAACGGATGAAAGTAAGCATTTATGGCGACCCCGCGACTCTAACTTCCCACAGAAATGGAGTTATTTATTATGCACAAATGGAAGCTCGAGGAAATTTGAGATCCGCTGAAAGAAGACTGAGACATGGTTTGAAACCGCTTGAAATCAAAACAGCCTGCAAAAACGGTCATTTTTTTTTTTTTTTTTACGTAGACGAATAAGAAGATTGCTAGTTTTAGCGGGAAAACCGCTAAACTGGCAACACTGCTTAGACACTATAACCGCCACGACACCTTCAAAGCTTCGGCGTAGGAGATCAGTTGCGGCGCATTCTCTGTGCATAATTGGTTTTGTTGGTTAGAAAGAAACGCTTAAGAACGATTATCGCCGTGACGATGCACTTTCGGAGCTGCTTGATTGTCTTCCTATAGGGTCGTAGCGTAGTCTGTGGTGGGACTCGAAGTGAAACGGACTACACTGCGCTGCCTGATACGGCTTTCCCTCAAGTAGAACCTTGTGTATCTCTGGCGATTACAAAAGACTTCTCCAATCTCTGCAGAGTCTGCTCCGGTAGAAAGTGCACACAGCGTAGAATATAAAGCTTTAGAGACTCATAGGGCTCTTAAAAAAAAATACTCGAAGAACTAAACAAGGCTTAAGAAAGAGAATTACGCAAGTGGAAACCATCGGTAAAAGAAAGAAGAAATAAAAGTATATTTCTATACGCAGATTGTTTACTGTATTTATTGTAAGGACAATGCCCACCGATCCGAGTGTAAGGGCAGGGTTTAGAGGTGGAGTCTTTGTCTCCTCCCGCTTGGTTCCAAAGCTACTATTGGCGAGAAAATTCTCATGGAACCGCCCGTTGCGAGGAACACGCCCACAAAACTGGGATATAAATAAGGCAGCAAAATTTCCACAACTCAGACGAGCAATCGCCCCATCAAGTTCCTTGAAGAAAGAAAACCTTACGTAAGTTCTCTTCGAAATTGCTACACTTTTGTATCAGTTTTTGTCGCAATGCAGTGCTGTTAGAGGCCCCAGGAGTTCAATGTGTGCTCGTGAAATAGAATTCATAATACCGTACGTTTAAATACCAGTCTGTTGTAGGTAGATATTTTCAGCTACGTTTTAATGCTGTTCCTGCCATTTTGGGTAATATTTGCTTCCAACAATATATATATAAAACCAATTTTGTCTCTAAATCAGTCTTGGGTAAGTTACTTTCAAAATGTAATTCGTTAAAGTTACAGTTACGTTCAGAAAAAAAGTAGCGAAGTTAGAGTAATGGAGCTTACTTTCAATGGTGTGTCTCGCAGTTGTAAGTGGCAACGGCGACAACACGACTCCATGTTTTTCTTGTATTTGCTCTGGAAAATGCCTGTGTAAAGCGTTCGTGTTCTCGGCGGTCTGGAAATCACTACGATTCTACGTTCATCAGAGCCAGTATTGAATGAAATTTACGTGAGACGTGTTTTTCACTCCTCTTATTATCGAATTGTTCTTCGCTTGCCGGCGAATTGAGTAGACGTTCTGGAATTTAGATGATCGCGACGGTTTTTGCCGGTGCATGGAGGGCACCTGTGTTCTCAAGTTCGAGGTCTCCTGTAAAAAAGTTAGCGCCGAATTCGGCGCTGAACGTAGCGCTGTGCTAAGGTGAACCGAGCTTAGAAACTAAGGCTGGCTGCTACACAGAAAGTCCATGCCTGTCTGGTCCCGTTCAATACAAATTGCTATGGCGATGAGCTACTGCAAAGCACAACAAGGAGGAAGGGTCTACTCCTGGGTACAACATTTGACGTCACAATCAATGCCGATGCTGCTCAGTGTTGCCAGAAGAGGCGCAGTTAGGGATTGGGACGCGTGAACTTCAAAATTTCTTTTGTCAAAAGAAAATAATTTTTGATGATATATTTCGCAGCCTTATCCAGGGGTAAATATTCAGTGCTCGCCGAATGTTTCATAAAAACATATGACCACTAATGTTTCGCAGGAACTCTCATTTAAAAAAGTTGCCTCTACATTCCGAGAAAAAAAAAAGATTGCGCTGGCGAGTTTTGCCGCTATATTTATGTTATATTTTCTCTTTTAGGAGGAGGATCCCGTTAGACTGTGATATTATATTGCAATATAATCAACATGCTCCTCGTACTTTTTGCCGTGGTGCTTATTCTACCTGCATTTCAAGGTAAGTCGTATAAAGATATAAGTGTTTAGCAATTATAACATTTTTTCTGCTTTCTTTCTAAATATACTTTGCCAGGTTTCCTTCTTTAAGAAACACGTGTGATTGGATACGACCGGTGCTCTCTGAACGTCGTTTGGTATTGCAAACAATGCCAATGAACGCCTGGTTTCTGACGAGGTTGACCAAATGGAAGTCAGTGCATCGCATGCCATTTAAAGGTGCTCTAAGGAGATTTTTGAGATCGCCTAAATATGACGATAACTCCCTGTGCGCACTCTAAGCATCCTATAAATTCATAAATCATTACGATGCGCGGCCGATTTTTTCTATTGGCAAAGCAATAAAAAATCGAGCACACCGAAGTTATCCCCGGCGGGTAGGAGCATTGTTCCGACAGCCAGGACGATATGTGACCAATGAAAAGGTGACATTTCGTTGAGATTGCAAACGCTGATAGTAGAAAATGTCTGTATCATTTGTAGATGATAAAACAAAATAAGTGTGGTCACAAAATGTTAGCTTTTCGCCAAGAGAAAACATATTATTGCAATATTCGTCTAAAAAAAGGGGCACCATATCTTTTTTTTCTTTTCTCGCGGGAGTGATGTGTCTCGTCGTCAGCTCGCGAGCGAGTGCTCGCAGGTTTCACTCGTAGTGCGGGCTGAATGGGCAACGTGGCGCGTGCATTGAAGATATCACTCCGCGATTCAGCCGGTCGGAGGTGCCAGGTCCACTGTCAGCTATTGGCTGACAGCGGTCCTGGTTTCGGAACATGCTCTTCCCATCGCCGGAGACGAAGTCTTTGTGTCGCGATTTTTTATTTCACTTTTAATGGGGAAATCGGACGCGTATCTTAATGATTGGGGGATTTCTAGGATGTTCACAACCAGCAGAGTGAGGTATCGCAATATTTAGGCGAATTCAGAAACTGCTTCAGGTAACCTTCATGAGATGCACACAGGCTATAGTGTTGAACTGATAATCTTTCGTCTAGACATGTGTTCAAGAAATTGGAGAATCTTGACATCGCAAATGAAGTGGTCGCGACTTCCCCGGTTAATATGGTTTCGGAAGCTGTTCAGAGGGTTAAGCAATCAGTTACTCAAAATTCAGCTAATGTGTAGTGCTAAAAATAACTGATGATAATGTTTATCGATAACGTCAGATGTTTTGTGCGGATGGCCCAATTTAAAATCCCGTATTAAAATGTTTTGGTGGATAACTTAAAATTATTAATTTTACGAATAAAAATGATTGACAAAAGAACTTAATATCAAAGTTTAATTTTGCGAACTTCTCCCTACAATCTTAGAAAACTACCAACATTTTACGCAATGCTAAAGCAAAGGCACAGTTCATGCTATGATAATGCAATTAATGCAGAGGTGCAAGCGAACAAGGCAAGAATAACGATAGTAATTTCTGGAGCTCCTAGGATTATTATTAGTACTTGCGCTTGCTCGGGTACGCGATTCTAAAACTCACAATAATCTCCTTTCTTGGCAACACCTTCATAACATTTTTTTTTTTTTTTCAGAGGGGTTTTCGTCTGAGGCCTATACAGATGATGATTGCTTCAAATTTGTTGAGGAGAGCGGAACTATATTCTGCCTAATCAATGGATATTTTGTAAGTATTGCGAAGAATCAAATACAAATCAGATATTTTTACATAATCCAAAGCAGCCCTAGATTTTTTTTTATAATGCAAAGAGACTTGAAAATTTAAGTTTGTTACACTAAAAACCTCTGTTTGGCGTGAACACCCGTAACATTTTAGAAAACGCTCACAATGTTACGAAGTTTGTGACACACCCCGGAAACACGGGGCCACATAAGGCGAAAATACAGGGCGCTCTTTCTATGTCGACGTTTCTACAGCTGCGAGGTGGAGCGAGTAATTTGACAAGCTCGAAAGCAGCCGGTATTCAAGAGAGGAAAGCTCCTCTACCTAAAATTTATCAAGGTTATTTCTTTTTTTTTTTACCCATTTTCTTTCGTAAAAATTAGGGCTGGGCGTTAAATAAAATTTTTGGCACATTGATACTTTAGACCCATGTTGTTGTAAAAAAACTATCTCCAAACTCCGGTCTAAAAACATGCTTTTCGTGCAAGGCTCGTCAAATTATGAGGCGCTGGAGAAATGCAGCCTTCTGCGTTAAGTCCTTATTTCGAACTCTTTTTGTTCGCCTTCCGCCCATTGAAAAACATGCGGGAAGGGCCTTAGAACGCACCTGGTATCGCTGCGCCGCAGCGTTCTTCCGCAAAATAAAGTTCGTCTGCTTTCCTCGCCGAATGAATAGAAGCATGCACGGTACCGCCGCGTGAAGCCAGCAACAGCTGACGCCATTTTACTAACGCCGTCTGCTAGCCAAAGCCGAACGCGGAGTGTCAGATCAACCGCCTCCGCCGGTGCGCCGCTAGCGAAGACGACGAAGCTGAGACACGCCGACGGCGATCTAGCAAGCAACAACACCGCGGGACGACTGCAACGGCGGCATTTATTCGGATCAAAGGCCGCCTTCACCGGTGCGCCGCTAGCAAAGACAACGAAGCTGAGGCACGCCGACGGTGAATGGGCGAGCAATAGCACCGCGGGACGACTGCAACGGCGGCATTTATTGGGATCAAAGGCGCGAAATAAGCTAGAACAATTTTTATTTGAATCATAACACGCGATATCCAAGTTGGGGACCACATACCTTTGCTGGGTCCTTCCTGTGAACTTTTTACAGAGACACGGGGTGCCGCATTCAAAACACGGCTCCGTTTGCAAAATATGGGGGCCCTGAGAAGGGCCGTTTAGACCGCTACCAGAACCTATAACTGACGTAACGAGCACTTGACGAGGGGTTGGCGCATAAGTCGTCTTTATGGACGCAGACGGGTGACGTGCTCAGCGCAGCGGATCACTCGAAGTCACCGGGGCCGTCAGAATCCTCGCCCTGTCTGCGTCGGGGCTCTAGAATTTGGCGGCCGCGGCGACGAACGACTGGAATCTATCAGTGTTTCCGCGCGCCTTCTCTCTCCTCCAAAACATGAACTTTGCAAGGTGACCAGTGAAATAGTGGCTCTCGCGCCGTTCAGATGGAAGTGAGTTTTTGACGTGGGCCCAGGTGCAATCCACCGTATTGGTGTGCGCACCAGTGTTCGCGTCGACAAAGTGCAGCTTATGGTTGACGGTGAGGTGCGTGAAGCGAGCGTCATCTGCAAGCTTGCGATAGCCAGCCCAACAATCTGTGATTATTCTTGTTCCAGGGCGGACCCACTTGGCTGCTAGCCCTAACAGGGTTTTAGCGTCACGGGTCTCCACGGGAACAAGAAAGTAGCACCCGCTGCCACGCTCCACACCGCCGAAAACCCACTGGCCAGGCCTAAAATACCCGCGATGGTACTTTCGCCGCCCGAGCATACTCTGGTCTAGCTCTACTCTCACGCCTTCGCCGCCAATCATCTCTGAATGCGTAAAGACGGCATTTACCACAACCTCCCGACAAAGGCTCGTCCAATCAGTTATTGTCTTACTTGCGACATCAGTCTCCCGCTGAATGATGGCGCACGGTAGGTTCTGGCACCAGAGGTAGATGATCTTCATGAGTTGGGGAAGCGTCAGGTGGGATCCCTCGAAAAAGGAACCGCTCCGTACCGAGACCTCGCCCCGGCATTGAACCTTGACCGGCTTCCTCTTGGGTACCTCACGAGTCATCCACACACCGTACCCCCACGAATAACCATCCGCAGATCTAGCGCGGACTTGTAGCGTCATCGCAGCTTCGCACTCTGGGCACGCACACGAAACCAGGAGCAGGCCCATGCCTTGAAGCAAATTAATTGCTTCAAGAGGGTCTTTCATGAAGACGGCACAAGTTAAACGCCATGGCACTGCGACGCTCGCCTCTTGAAGAATAAAGCGCCGAGGTAGCTAAACATTGAACTGCGCGCTTCTTTGCATTTATTATTTTTATTTGATCCGCCATTTTATACCTCGTGACACCATTCTAACAAACTGATTGGTTAATCGGTCGGGCCTTGTCATCGCGTGACAAAACAAACGCCAATTGTATGACCAGAAGGGTTGCCACGGTCGGCATCGTTACAAAGAAGAGAACAGTAGGGACCCAACAACAAAATAAAATAACAAAGTGAATAAAAAAAAAGAGGGAGCCGTTCTCGGGCGGCGTGTTTTTTGATGAAAGGTGTTGCTCGCAATGGTTACTTGTTTGTTTTCTTTTTTTGTTTCTTTACCCTAGAGGATGCCACGTCCCTCATTTGAAGCTGATTTGTTAATTCAATAACAAACAACGCGTTGAAACGAAGGAGGGAGAGAGTCTTGGGCGTCAGAATTCTCGAAAAGAAAAGTAAGAATGCACAATATATACCGTACTGCAAGACCGTTATACTCCGCACTCGGCGAGGCCTCATGACGCCGCCGACGACCGTTAGGCTATTTATTTTGTTTCTTTAGACTTTTATCGCGACCACTACTCCACCGTGCCTCAGATTTTGCAGCGAAGGTCAGGCAGTTTTTAATAGTTATTAGTATTGTCGTTTGAAGGGCACTCTTTTTATGCTGCTTCGTCTTCGTTCCTGACGCCATAAAAATATGGGCGTTAAAAGTTTGCCCAACGTATAAAAAAAAAGTTTAGCTCAAGGTTGGATTGGTTTATGGATACACTTAGTCCAATAATTATTTAGCCCAATTATTTATATTTGTTATTAGCATCTTTTGTGCGCATGCGTGAAATACAGCACCCAACGATAAGACATGAGAAGAACGCTGCGAGTGCTGGACCGTAGACCATTTAATAGGGAGTTTTAAAATAGCGCACGCTAAAGCTTTGCGTACGCAAAGAATAGCGTCGTCGCCACTGCGCATGCTCCGAACGCAAACCAGGTTTTGCGCTTTGCGTGCGCAATTTTAGCGCGCGCTATTTCTCGGAAATAGCGTGCGTACGCAAAGAGTCTTTGCGCTTCTCCAAGGAGGATTCCGGATGAGAAGTTGGCTAAAGCCAAGACGAGCACAGTTACAAAAAATGGCGGCTTCCAGGATTATGTCGGCGGCTGCTTTGGCGGCGTCGTGAGTGCGACGTCGGCGGCATCCTCGCGACTGCAATTTTCAATACGGGACGACATTGTACTCGGTTTGGCAGCGATCACCGGCAACTTGATGCTTGCGACGCGCGAACATTTCACGGTGAAGGAACGATGTGCGAAGGTCAGTACACGAGACCTCTCTTGCCGAGGCGACGCAAGCGCACACGACCGGTCAGCCGCTCACGTCGCGTTCTCATGTTTAAACAAATTAAAATGCTACTCTGGACCAAAAAACTCGTTTTCTTCTAAAGTTACATTATTTCGTGTGTGAAATAAAAATGTTTACTGTATGTTGGTGGCGTCGCAAGCGCGAGATGCTTGCGCTTATGCGTCGCGGCGGAGAAACGCTATTCTAAAACTCTCCTGCGTCGCGTGCGCTAATACAAGCGCTAAATTTAGCGCTAGCGTGCGCTAAAATTGCGTGCGTTATTCTAAAACTCCCTATTGTCACCAAAATCCAGGGCCGAAAACACATGGAGGTATTAGTGCATCGTTTTGAAAGCGCTACAAAAACAAGTCGGGGACACTGAACATCTAGACCAACTTTGAGTGCGTGAGCGTGTGATGTGTGTGTATGCCATTCTTTATGTTTAGATTGTAGGCGCGAAAAATCCACACGGTCTAGGGCCTGAGTACTGCAGAGTCTAGCCCGACATCTGGGTGCTGTTACTGATTTCCTAGTCAGTGTGGATTTTTCGCGCCTATAATCTAAAATGAAAGAATATTTTTATGGCGTCAGGAACGAAGCAGCATAGAAAGAGCGCCCTTCAAACGACAATACTAATAATTACTAAAAACTGTTGGACCTTCGCTGGAAAATGTGAGGCACGGTGGAGTAGTGGTCGCGATAAAAGTCTAAAGAAACAAAATATATAGCCTAACGGTTGTCGGCGGCGTCATGAGGCCTCGCCGGGTGCGGAGTATAACGGTCTTGCAGTACGGTATATATTGTGCATTCTTACTTTTCTTTTCAAGAATTCTGACGCCCAAGACTCTCTCCCTCCTTCGTTTCAACGCGTTGTTTGTTATTGAATTAACAAATCAGTTTCAAATGAGGGACGTGGCATCCTCTAGGGTAAAAAAAAAAAAAAGAAAACGAACAAGTAACCATTGCGAGCAACACCATTCATCAAAAAACACGCCGCCCGACAACGGCACCCTCTTTTTTTTTTTTTTATTCACTTTGTTATTTAATTTGTTGTTGGGTCCGACTGTTCTCTTCTTTGTAACGATGCCGACCGTGGCAACCGTTCTGGTCATACGATTGGCGTTTGTTTTGTCACGCGATGAGATGGCCCGACCGATTAACCAATCAGTTTGTTAGAATGGTGTCACGAGGTATAAAATGGCGGATCAAATAAAAATAATAAATGCAAAGAAGCGCGCAGTTCTGTTTGTTTAGCCCCCTCGGCGCTTTATTCTTCAAGAGGCGAGCGTCGCAGTGCCATGGCGTTTAACTTGTGCCGTCTTCATGAAAGACCCTCTTGAAGCAATTAATTTGCTTCAGGGCATGGGCCTGCTCCTGGTTTCGTGTGC